TCTCAATTTCAGGATGATTTTCATCTTCCAATTCCTCCATTTCTCCATAGTTGGCAGGATCAACCTCTGTTTTCTTGGTTGATCCGCTCACTAATGTCTCTCATCCCAAGGAGGACTCGAAACAGGTGTTGCTTTTGCTTTGGCAAGCTCTTTGTGAGGCCATCTGCCGGCATGTCGGCAGTTGGAATCCAATTGACATGGACTCGACCTTCACTAACCTCCTGTTTCATCCAGCATCGGTTAATATCCACATGCCGCAGCTTCGTATGCATCGCCGCTCCCTCCTTTGTCAACAAATCGACGGTTTGCTGGTTATCGCACATAATGGAGAGTGGATGGTCGGGTTTGAAACCCAAGGATTCGAGGACTCGGCGCCACCACTGGACGGTTTTGCCTGCTTCTGCTAACGCGAGGAGCTCTGCTTCTGTGGTAGACGTGGTGACGGTCTTTTGTTTCGTCGCCTTCCAGTCTATAGGGCCTCCGTACAGCTTACAGAGGTAACCTTCAGAACTCTTTCTGTCGCGGTTGTCTCCGAACGAAGCGTCACTTGCAAATTCAATGGATTTCGCTGCAATGGTAAGGCCTGTTTCGGTTGTTGCATGGTTTCTGATTCCATACTCAATGGCCCAAAACCTAGTTTCGTATAGGTATTGGATGATCCGATCTACAGCATTAATATGCTTAGGACCGGGATTTGTTAGGAATTCAGCCACTTTAGAGGTTGCTTTTGCAGCATCTGGTCTCGTAATGGTAGTGGTATACTGAGCAGATCCCACTTTGGCCTGGAAACCATGAATCTGACTCGGTGTAGCCACTCCATCATAGGGGACCAGAGGTTCAATTCCTAGTGGTAATCCCACGTTTCTTGCGGTGACGAGGTTATATTTCATCGCCATGCTCTCAATGTAGCTATCTTGACATAACCATAGTTTCTTCTGGTCTCTGTCTCTGATGATACGGATATTCAAGAACCAACTGGCATCTAGTTCTCTTAATTCCCACTGTTTCTTGATGTCCAGATCCAATTGTATAGCCTTCTTAGTATATGTAGGATCTGGGTGGTTGACGATGATGATGTCGTCCACATAGAAGAAGACGATGATCCCGTCCATCGTGAAGATGCAGGGATCCTCAGGGACAGGAATCAGGCCTAGTTTGACTAGTACCCGGGTCGCTTCCTGCTGCCATAGTCTTGGTGATAGGCGTAATCCGTAGAGAGCTCTGTGTAATAGCCAGCAATAGCCCTCTCGTTCAAATCCTGGCGGGCACTTGGTATATACCTCACCTTGTAGGACTGAGTTCAAGAACGCTGTAACGACATCTCGCTGTCTCATATCGAGGTCGAAGGCTGCCACTAACGCAAATATCGCTCTCGCCGTCTTAACGGCTAGCGTGGCGGCTCTTTTCTCTTCGGTAGACATCCATTGAAGATCTCCGCGGACGCATATTCGTGCTTTGAACTTCTCAAGCACGCCGTCTGCATCAAATTTGTATGTGAATACCCACTTCAGGGGTAAGACTTGTGTACCTCTCTCGTTCGGGGTTGGAACCTGTGAGAACGTCTCCTTTTTGATCAGAGTCTGTATCTCAAATCCTACAGCTGCTATGAATTCCTTGCTGAAAGGGTGACTTATCATCTGATTCTAGGTCTCTGGTGGTGGCGGTATCTTGTCTCGATGGAGCTTTTTGACGTTGAATCGCTTGCTTATGCTTGTTGTGAATGCATATAGTAGGCTCGGTGGTTCATCGTCTATTGAGAGGTATGCAGCATAGTCTGGATCTGCTCTTGGTCTCCTGGATCTGGTGCCGGTGACGACATTTGACATGTTAATATCTCCAGATATATCTCTTAGTGCTCGATAGGATAACGATGCTTGGGATGACGGCGAGTATACCATTTCTTGCTGGAGCTGGCGCTCTATCTCTTCTTCTTCTTCATCAACCTCTTCTTGTTCCACCCCCCCAGTTTCGACCGACGGTATGACGGAGATCGGATCTGGCGACGATGGGATGGTTTCTTGGTGAGCTGATCTCGATGAAATCGATGGATTTGGCGATATTGAGGCTATTCGTGGCGGTGGTGACGATGACGGAGATGGTAGGGAGGATGGAGAGGATGGAGAGGATGGAGAGGATGGAGAGGATAGAGAGGGCTATATAAAACTGCCTGGCATCCTGTATGTTTGCTCTCTCTTTGTTTGATCTTTCTTTGTTAGATCCCTCGGTCTAATATTGGACTGTGGGGTAGGCAAACTGGATGCTATTTTAACATCTGCCTGGATCGGGGTTCTCTCTCTATCATCCATCTCTCTCTCTGTTATCTCTCTCTCTATCGTTTCATTAACTATATCGTCGATGGCAGCTGTTTCATCAATAACTTCATCATTTCCTGATTTAGCATGTCCGGTTTCATCAGCAGCTTGCTCGGTATGCTCAGTTTCATCAGTTAGAGCAATCCTGGCTACTGATTTAGGTATTTGCATCTGGGTGCTGATTTCAGCCTGGGCTTCTTCTTCGGTAAGCACCTTTGGCCATATGCCTATGCCTAGCCCATCTGTTATGGTACTAATAGCATCTTCTTCATCAGGACTCGGCCTCGCCTTCGAATACCGCCTCGATTCATCGAATACGGCATCCCTAACGACGTCGACCCTTCCTATACCGGTTCGACCTTTATGGGGGAACCATACTTTGTACAGGTTCTTAGAGATATACCCAACGAGATATCCTATCTCTGCTCTAGGTGCCATCTTGTTTGACTGTACTCTCTTAACGATTCTCGAGTACGTCAAGCAGCCATATAACCTTACATTTGACAGGTTGATGGTTTAGTGCTGTACGCCATCTGGCGCTGCATGTTTCATAAGCTCTTTCCAAGGTATGATCCATTGGTTGTGAACCTTGGTTAGTATCCTGTTTAGGATATATGCTGCTGCATACATTGCCTCGGGCCACAGGTTATGGGGGAGATCTGTGTCGTTGATTAACACTCTAGCAGTTCGTACTACCATCCCCCCAGATCTCTCGGCAGGACCATTCATTTCTAGTAAGCCAGGTGGAGAATGCTCAATTGTATATCCTTCGGCTTCAATTATTAACTCCACTTCTTTTCCAGCGCTGCGCTCATTATCATAGTGGAACACTCTGATCTCTATCTTTAACCAGTTCTTGACTAGTGCTAGGAACTTCCTAACAGCCATTTGGCAGTCATTTTTCTTAGTATGTGTGAAGACAAAGTGACATTTAATACCATCTAGGTAGAAATGTGTCAACCAGATGTGGCCATTGTGAGCCGGCTGATTTTGTACTAGGTCGAAGTGGACCCGTCTAATTATTCCATATGCTTGGCCTATCTTCCGGCGAGAGATCTGCCTCGGGGCATCTGCTAGTTGATAAGCTTCACATACCTGCTGTTCTTTGCCAGGGTTGCTCTTAATAGTGATCCCGTTAGTCATCTCTGCCAGTTTAGCAATACGCTCTTTGCCAATGTGGCCTAGGCGCCTATGCTAGATCTGTATAGATCCATCGGATCTAGGTTCTTGTGCCGATTTCTTGGTTGCAAATACCAAGTCTTTCGGTGTTAATTTGGGGTATTGGAACCCCACTGGCTGTGTTAACCAGGTTAACTTTTGGTCCTGGTACACTTGGTATACCGGTGATCCATCTGTTATTTCAATGCAGTTGGTCCTGAAATTTACTAACAATCCTCCCTTCATCATCAATCCATGGGATATCAGATTACTATGGAAATTAGGCAAGTATTTGACGTTGTATAACTCCATCCTAACTACTTTCTTTGACGTGGGACTGACACCATATATAACTACAGTGCCTACCCCGTCGACGATCGTTTCCGTGTCTCCCACCTTAACACTGCTCTGTACGTCTTCGAAAGTCACGAATAACCCTCGGTCGTTACATACATGCATTTGCGCGCCGGTGTCGACAACCCACCTCTTTCCAACGGGTTCAATATCGTCGGTTTGGGTATGGTTTTGGGTGGACATAACAGTAGTAGAGAAGTCATTTCTCTTGTTTCTTGGTGGCTTGCTTGCCGCTGGCTTGTTTGCCGCTGGCTTGCTTACCGCTAGGTTGCTTGCCTCGGCTGAGAAGAAACCATATGCCTGATCGGCAAAGGTAGCATTTGCTTGCTAAGAGCTTGCTCCTTTCTTCTTCGTTATCTCTATACGCTTGCCATCCACAAAGGTTTTCCAGGCAGGGTCAGCCTTTATGGCTTTATCCCATTTCTGTTTAAATGCTTGTATGGGATTGTATGATGGCGGTCCGTTGTCAGGGTATGCATCCCAACATTTCCATGGAGAATGCCTAGTATTAGGCTTCCCACAAGGGCAGGGTCTTTTCTACACCGGTGTTTCTTCCCCTTGTTTAGCTTCTTCATAGCCTTGCCAGGTTAAGAAAGCCACTTTTAAGACACCTTTTTGAACTCCCGGCTTGCCGTGGGTGATGTTCCAGTGGGCTCTATACCGGTTAAGCAACTCGGTAAAAGGTATGTCGCTCTTGTCTTGCAGTCTCAGGACCCAGGTTTCATGAAAGCCAGGTAACATGACTGATATAGCATCAAGGAATTGACTGCTGGCATCATCGGCCTCAGTTATTTTTGCTCTCTTACACCGTTTTTGGACCGTTTCCCAGTTAATAAGCCATTTGTCAATGTCTGTATTACGATCTAACCCTCGATCTAGGTTACGCCATTGCTAACGGAGCCTAGCTGTATAGGTAGGATCGCTCTCCGGTGCGAATCTCTTATGCAAATTGCTAAGTAATTCCCACGGTGTCTCATATTCAATAATGAAACTCTGGTATGTTATGTGAACAGTGGCACGAATGGCGGTTACCACCTAGTTCAAACCCTTCTTTTTCTGGGTATAAATGGCATTACTGGTCATCCAGTCTGCCTGCATCGATTGCCTGGTTTGAAACCAGTCATCCGGGTATTCAATCTTAGCATCTTCAATTGACAACACAGCTGTTGGTATCGTCAATGGACTCGGTGCCTTTGGTTGGGATGGGTCACATAACTCCCATACATCGTGCTGAACAGCAATCGATTTAATATATGGCAGCCAGGAATCCCATGATTCTGTGTCCTTTAATGTGACGCGAGAGGATATCGCGGAGAGATATGAATCAGTCATATTAATGCTGGTATGTTGATGACTTCCGATAATTTTTCGAGGAGTTTTCAGGGGTTGCCTTCGACGATTCAGGGGTTGACTCAGGTGTCAATTCATCCACTGATTCGGCGACAGCGAGGTTGAAAGGTGATCTATATGCAGATAGATCTATTTGAATGGAACGATTCCGGGCTCATAACTGACGGAAATCTATCGTATTAANATAACTGACGGAAATCACCGGTACAGCAATGTATGGTCAAAATGACAGATGTGTATGACTCTAACTAACTAAAATGACAAGAATCCCCTATTTGACAATTTGCTGGGGCATAACTGACTAAGCTTAATATGCAATTTGTATGGGGCCCACTATCATAGCGGTCCATGTATTTTCCGAGGTGTTGAATACTCGGGTTCCCAGTCATGTATTGTAACATAGCTTTCGACATAAGCTTCAACTGCTTTGGGGGACTATATTTCTCCAAAGTATTCTATAGTCCTTGGAAGCCTAACTATGTGTCTGTTTCTTGATCTCCCGTTTGAGCTCCGAACGCTCATCATTGAGAATGTGCTCTACACCCCGCTCAGCCCGCCTCAGACTCCTCTTCAATCAGATGGAATCGAATACAATGACCTTAGATATAAGGCATGGATTAGCAGAGGTGGCAGTGCATGTTATAACCAGCAGAGCAAGCCCAACCCCTCAAACTGTCTGCCTCTTCTTCTCACAAATCGTCAAATTTTGACCGAGACCCTGGTGATCCTTGGGCGGAAGAAAGTCGACTATATTCTTGACATATCAGTCAAGGATGACTTGCAACTCTTTCTGACTTGGCTGTCAGTGCCATGCCTTACAACCCACATATCAACCCTCTACGCGAATGTACGTCTTTTCGGTCACATCATCGACAAGTGCACCATCCGTGCCCAACTCGGCGATGGCGGCCGGCTAGGCTTCCACTGGTCCTTCTATGCGGCATTAGAGCGATTTCTCCGCTATGGTCCCGTGGGAGAAAAAAAGCACAAAGCAGAAGACCAGTCTTCTGGATATCCTCGAAACACGAAGGAATTCGAGGACCGGGAGATGGTGATCGATACACTTGTTCTCGACTTCCAGTCTGCGGAAATGGAACTTTCCTTCCCACCAGAAGATGTCACATACAAAATTTGGTCGGAGCGGCATTGGGGTCTGGATCGGGGAGACCGGAGCGAGGCTTCAGAGGCATTGTCATCCCATAAAACGCGCCCGGAGTGGCTCTGTGAATATCTGGAGGCCTGGATAAGCGGTCTTCTTTATATGAGTTATCATACTTCCGAATTCGGGGAGCCTCTCTATGAGCGTGTTGGAACAATCCGGATGCTTGTTGATGGACAACTATATCGTGAATTTGATCTTGCAGCTTGGTTAGCTCGCCTACGTTTTACCAATCCAACCTCTATGATGGGTCATTTACCCACGGATGACAGACAGCCTGGATTTTGGAAATGGAAGAAAGAGACATTGCTGAGAAGGGAGGCCCAAGGGTTTCCTGTGATATGGCCATTGGATGATGAATTAGGACGAAGAGAGGTGTGATTATTCTATGTGTTAAATTGGTAGCCTGGTAAGGCAGCCGGGTCGAGAGCGAGAGAAGGCCTAAGTAGGGTGTTAGAAGGATGTTCATGGTCGTAATAGAAATCATATGACGGATTAACGAAACCTATACAAAGGTGCATACTGATGTACAACATAGTCAGATTATTCGTTGAGATTGTCGTTATTATTGTAGGACCTCTCACCACTGATTTGAATGCCAAATTCTTAGCTGGGTTGATATTTATCATAGAATATCACTGTACCGGCTCAATATAGAACAATATATGAAATGTCTTACAACATAGATCCATCCATACTCCTTGAACCCAGTCACTTTTGTGGGCCCGGGGCCGTCGGAGGCCGTGGGACCCGCGGAACCCGCGAGAATTCTATAGACCTCTTGGCTGAGATCCCGCCAAGAATCAGCATTGGAAGTTCAAAAGAGCATAATATCTCGATGAATGGCTCATAATTGTCTTTGGTTTCTTCACACATTGTGTAAATCGCAAATCGTTGAATTGGAGAAAAGCCGACTCTGACTCTGACTCTCTGCGTGCCCGAGAGGTTTCGCATGACCATCTACAATGGAGAAAGACTCCAAGAAAGATAGATTTGATGACCAAGAGCCTAAGAAAGAAATAGGCGCCTTCGGTGGTTATTTGGTAGGGAAACTCCCCTTCCAACGCAGGTTAAAAGTCTAACATCAAACAGAGGATCTTTCGATATGGCTCGTCCAAGGACTATACCTTGCAGGCCATTGCCACTGCCTGCGCACTAGGGTCCGGTGTTGGCATGGCCCTTGTCAATTTGGTATTTGGCCAGTTTATCACACTCATCACTGACTACACGGCGGGTCATACGGATGCTTCGAAGTTCCGAAACGAATCTGCGAGGCTCAGGTATAATGTCCTTCAATCAAGATCGATGGGAAGGAACTGACTTTTTTTTTGAAAAAAATAGTCTCTTTTTCTTTGTCATTGGCCTTTGCCGATTCTTCCTCACATATGGATACAGCACACTCTATACATTTGCTGCATACCGGATCACACGAAACATTCGCCACCTGTACCTAAAAGCAGGACTAAGCCAGGAAATTGCCTTCTTCGATTCAGGCACTAGCGGGTCAATTGCCATGCAAGCCACCTCAAATGGACGACTGATCCAATCTGGAATTTCGGAAAAGCTGGGACTTGTTGTCCAGGGCCTATCCGCTTTTATATCCTCCTTTGTGCTAGCATTTGTCACTCAATGGAAGCTGACTCTCATTTCTTGCTGCATTGCTCCAGCAATGCTTTTAGCCATGGGCATCAGCTCCAGCTTTGAAGCTGACATTGAAACAAAAGTCCTCAAAGTTCAGGCCCAGGCTGGAGCTTTTGCAGAGAGTATCTTGTCAAGCACTCGGACGGTACAGGCCTTCGGACTTCGAAACCAACTGCTAGGCGACTTTGAAAAGTTCTTGCAAGCTTCGAGAAAGCTCGGAAATAAAAAGTCCCCTCTTTTCGGCTGCTTATTTGCCACGGAGTACACCATCATCTTTTCAGGATTTGGCTTGTGCTTTTGGCAGGGTATAAGAATGGTGTCCACTGGCGAGGTGGAGCAATCTGGAGATATTTTCATGTTTGTTCAGTCCTTATCCTTTCGTAACTGCCAATGCTAATCATGACGCAGTGTGCTCATGTCCGTGGTTGTAGCAGCCGTAAGCCTGACCACTATAATGCCGTATCTGATCGATTTTGTCCGCGCGGCCTCTGCAGCGGCAGAGCTATTCCATCTCATGGACCGAAAGTCGAGAATCGATCCGTTTGACAATTCCGGGGAAAGACCGACAGACGTTGTGGGATATATCGATTTTAGTAGTGTCTCGTTCGCTTACCCTACGCGCCCTGATACCAAGGTATTGAACAACTTCTCACTGCATATTCCTGCCGGCAAGACAACTGCACTCGTTGGAGCAAGCGGATCTGGAAAAAGCACTATTGTTGGGTTGATTGAACGATGGTACAACCCTTTGTCGGGAACGGTCAAGCTTGATGGCAAGCCTATCGAGCTGTACAACCTCAGATCACTTCGCCAGCAGGTTAGGCTTGTTCAACAGGAGCCCATTTTGTTTTCCGGAACAGTCGCTGAAAACATCGCCAATGGCCTTGTAGGTACACCTTGGGAGAATGAATCTCCAGGCGAGAAGCTGTCCCGGATACAGGAGGCTGCTAAAATTGCCTTTGCCCACGATTTCATCACCGAACTTCCCAGCGGGTATGATACCGTCATTGGGGAGAGAGGTGGGCTATTATCCGGTGGTCAAAAGCAACGGGTTGCAATTGCTCGCAGTATTGTTTCCCAGCCACGAATTCTTCTTCTGGATGAGGCAACGAGTGCCCTTGATCCTCATGCCGAGGAAGTCGTTCAACGCGCACTGAACAATGTTTCAAAGGGGCGCACAACAATCACTATTGCACACAAACTAGCCACTATCAGAGATGCCGATAATATTGTTGTCATGGAGCAGGGCCGTATTCTCGAGCAAGGTACACATAACTCCCTTTTGGAATCGAATGGTGCCTATTCACGACTGGTGCGGGCTCAGGATTTGTCTGTGGCGACACAGGATCCCGAAGATGCCTCAGATAGCCCGGATGAAACAGACAAAGAAGACTTTGTTACACTTACTGGTGAATTGACCCGGTACTCGACTACAACAAGATCAGCTTTGGAGAAGCAGTTGACTCGCGATGATTTTGACAATTGGAAAAGATTGGGCCTTCTCCAAACAATATGGAGATTGGTGAAATCGGCTCCCGAGCTCAATTGGACTTTTGTGGTCCTGATTTTGGCTTGTTTAACAGGAGGTGAGGCTAGCATTCTAAACCCCAATTTTCGCAGACTGGACTGACCAAATTGTAGCTGCTTCATATCCTGGCCAAGCTATCTTGATGTCTAAGTTCATCGACGTATTTCAATTCACAGGTTCAGCTATGCGAACAAAAGGAAACTTCTTCGCTCTAATGTTTTTCGTTCTCGGACTTGGATCTTTCGTCGTCTATTTTGCTGTGGGATGGACATCGAACATTGTAGCACAGGTAAGTCTCTTTCGGTGATATATGTGTGCATCTTAGCTCGACTAACTCATCAAGACAATGAACCAAAAATACCGGAAGCAAGTCGTCAATGACATGATGAAGCAAGACCTGCAATTCTTTGATCGCGCCGAGAACACTACAGGGGCGCTGACCAGTCGTGCTGACTCTTATCCACAGGCTGTATTTGAGCTTATGGGCTTTAATGTTGCTCTGATACTGGTTGCAACGGTTGGTGTATTGTCATGCTCTATTCTGGCAATAGTATATGCATGGAAACTTGGCCTTGTTATTGTTCTAGCAGGTCTTCCGCCCATGCTCGCTTCCGGTTACGCTCGCATCAAAATGGAGGGTGCGATGGACCACAAGATTTCGAAGTTGTTTTCGAAGAGTGCATCTATTGCCTCAGAGGCCGTGACTGCCATCCGGACGGTGTCTTCCTTGGCAATTGAGACATCGGTTTTGGAGCGATACACCCAGGAGCTTGACCAGGCGATTGCCACGTCTACGAAGCCATTGCTTCTCATCATGCTCCCTTTTGCATTCACTCAGACCGTTGAGTACTCTTTTCTGGCTCTCGGTTTCTGGTATGTTTTTGTCGTATTTCTTTCATATTCCCAAATGCCTTGTTCTTGGTTTTGTACCAGGATGCTAACCATCGGATCATCTCAACATAGGTATGGATGCCGGCTTGTCTCATTTGGAGATCTGAGCATGGCCAACTTTTTCGTCAGTTTCCTGAGTGTGTTCTTTTCTGGCCAACAAGCTTCGATTCTTTTTGGCTTTTCAAGCAGTAAGATACATTCCCAGACTGGATGGGGGTGAAAGTGAGTGGCTAACAGCTATTCAGGCATGACAAAGGCAACAAATGCCGCCAATTACATATTTTGGCTTGAAGAGCTCCAGCCTACAATTCGAGAGACTGACGAAAACGGTGACCTTGGCCCTGGCGACTTCAAGTCTCTCCACTTGGAAAACCTGCAATTTTCTTACCCAATGAGACCTCACGCCCGCGTACTACGCGGCATTGACCTTCATGTATGCCAGTCCAGATCTTTATGAAAAGGTCCCCTTGTCGCTGCTAATATGTTGTATAGATCAAGAAAGGTCAATTTGTCGCATTTGTCGGCGCATCTGGCTGTGGAAAAAGTACCATGATCAGCATGCTCGAGCGCTTTTACGACCCAGTAGCTGGTCATATCAAAATCGACGCCCTTACCTTGGAGAGCTTGAATCCTTGGCTGTACCGAGGTAAAGTGGCACTTGTACAGCAGGAACCCACCCTTTATCCCAGCACCATTCGCGAAAACATCTCCATGGGGACACCGACTGGTAGCCCGTCAACGGTTCCTGACAGCGACATTGAGGCTGCCTGTCGGGCTGCCAACGCGTGGGAATTTATCTCTTCTCTGCCTGATGGCCTTATGACTCTCTGTGGTGCCAATGGGACACAACTCTCTGGTGGGCAACGTCAACGCATCGCTATTGCTAGAGCGTTACTCCGAAATCCGCGTTTACTCCTATTGGATGAGGCAACAAGCGCGTTGGACACTCAATCAGAGAGAATTGTTCAAGATGCGCTGAATGAAGCGGCTTCTCAGGGGGATCGAATCACGATCGCGGTTGCCCATCGCTTGTCGACTATTCGCCATGCGGATATGATATGCGTGTTTGATGGGGGCAGGATCGCCGAGTCCGGAACTCATGAGGAATTACTGGCGAGAGGCCGACTTTATCCGAAGATGTGCGAGGCTCAGAACCTAGGCACTTGATTAGGTGAAACCTTCAAGCTCGCCATCAGTTGTTTGAATTTGTCATATCTATGAGTATTAATCACAAGAGAGAGAAAAGGGCGATGATGGGACGTCTTATTATTAGACTAGCGTAGATAGAACACCGCGTAATTAAATTGAAGCAAGTGTATTCACTCTCCCATAGCTTCATGCTCTTGGTCTCGGAAACTTGGCCGTACCCTAATCATAAGCATGTCGTTCTCTAGCGGTTGTAACTCCTTTACGATTCAGATTGCCCAACTCACTATGGGTGATATGATGAATTCGGCCATTGAGATGGTTTCAGGAGATATGTGAAATATCGGGCCCTTAGAGATGAACTCCCGAAGGCTTAAGATTGGCCAGACCAGTGGCAATTCCCTTACCACACCGACATGGCGTGGGAATAATTTGAATTTCAACCGATAAAATTGACTTAACGGAGTTTCAACCCAAGTATGCGTATTTGGTAGTTGAGACCTCGTGGACAAATTTTAAACCAGTACAATATCTTCTATTTAGTTCAAAATCAAAACCTCGCTTTTGCTACTGGGCTTTTATTCTTCATTAGTTCTCGTGTATGGGTTCGTGTACAATATACACACAAATAGATGGGATATCAAATGAGCCTATAAGAGTTGTGAAGCTATTGGAGAATGGACAGTAGGTATCAATTCCGCAAATTTACATCTACAACCTGCATTAACTATGTGTTTAACAATGCCCAAGTACGGTAACAAGCATTCTTAAAAAGAACATGAAGAAAATCAGCCTTCAGAGGAAGAAAAAACCATCATATATACTAGTAGCAAACGCTCAATAACCAAATCGTCACCTCTCAAGCGCTAAACAGACCACATCCAGTCCTCCTATACCCAGAAACAGTCTATATACGAATCCTAGCATACCCATACCGACACACATCATGATGTCTCAAGTCCGTATTCCCATCCGCGGCATCATACACCCCATTATCAATGCCATCGACATCCAAAGCGACCTCAAGTCTTTGAAACCCAACCAGCGGGCGATCAGCAAAGGGGGCCATTCTCAGATCCTCCACCTGTTTATCTCATATACTAAGTGCCAATCACAATTCACACCTGCAATCTATTGTTTAACGGTCATAGTTTCATATTTAAAAAATACCTGACATTATCGTGACTCATAATGCATTGAAATATGGTTTGAGAGAAGAAAAGAAAAACGCTGCAATGATCTCAAATCAGTATACGGTCAAACAACTCACGGCGCCATTCTTGAGAACTTCAAATAAAAGCCCCGGGAACCCAAAAAGTTCGGTGTTGCCTAATCCCCCATCCTGCCCATCGGCACCACTCCGAGGACCTTTAGCTGTGCTCTCCTCCCAGCCACCAAGGAACTCAACACTGCTCTCAGGGCTGTCTCCCCAACCACGATTCAGCACCATTGGCCGTTGCAGAGCACGCTCCTCGGCGAGGCTAGCGTAAGATCCTTTCCAAGTAGCACGCAGCCGCTCTGAAACTTCATCATAAGGCGACTCCGAAGTCAGACAGTCACCAGATTCATCCAATGGAATTAGCCAGCGGCTTCGGCGGTGACGATTAAATGGATAGGATCCTGGGACGTTCCCATGAAGAATAATCTTTGTCACTGTCAGCTGGGAAGATGGTGGCTGTGGCGAGGGATCCGGAAGGCCCGAGGCAGGGAAAGCAGGACCTGTTGTTGTTGGATAGGAGATGAAGGCATCGAACCCATGGTGAAAGTAGTTCATAAAGTATTCTGCGGGCAATGAGGTGGGGTCTCCAATATTGAAGGTAGCCATCTCATCGTCAGAATCATCAGTTACGCTGTTAGTGGATGAGTGATCGCCGTCCGGAATCTCGATTCCTCTGCCTGGAGAGGGACTCAGGTGCAGGTCCCCACCCCCAGTTGCACGATGAATCGAGATTCGGCGGTCGTTCTTACGGTAGATGGCGTCGGGCGGACCGAAGTCTGCAATCAAGTCCTGGGGAGACGTCTCTCCCAGTGTTATGTATAATGAGGAGCCTGTCCTGCGAATCACTTCAAGTTTCCCAGCACCCAGGACATGCCACTCCTCAATTTCATCCGCCAGCGATTCTCGGGATTTGCCAATCAAAGCCGACGAGCGTGGGTACTGTGCCTGTTGCGTGAACAACTTGGCTCGGACCTCAGGCCATGATGGCCCTTGGAAGATTGACATGGATGTTGCTGGAAGGGCAGCCGAGGAGGATAATAACGCTACAAAATCACACTGGTCGGACCAAGCAGAGTGCTGAAGGGGAAACGAGAATGCCACCCCGGGATATGAGAGCACATAGGTGCCATATGGCGACTGGGGATCTGCCGGTGGTACGTATTCTCCTGGGTATGAGGGACCAAACAAGCGATTGTAGACGTGCCGGAAGCTAGGACCGTGCGAAGACAAGGGTTGTTCTCCGGACTTCCCACCTTTGAGCACCTCCTGGTTTTTGTATACGAGGTTCACTCGAGAGAAGTCGAGAACTTCGATCAAGCGGAGCCTCTGGTCAGGACCGTCAAATCGAAGGCGCAGGCCATTTGAAGGTAACTGCAATACCACTGGTTTGCGAAGCGGATCTGCGGGGGAGTAGGCTAGGTCGATGGCGGGATAGGTCTGGGGATAGGACTTGACACGGGTGAGGACATTGTGAAGCGAAGCGCCCAGGGCTTCCGAAGTATTAGCAAGAGCCGCTGAAAATGCCGTGAGACTAGACAAAGCAACATACTAATAAACCCGAGTCCTTTCCCGGGGAAGATTTGCGCCTGCGTTGGGGAAGTAGAAGTAGTCATAGTGGTCCGTTTTCATGGGCCGGCGAGTATAGGTGGACGAGAGTCCATACGATGGTCGAGCTATGCTTATTAGTTAAAGAGGGGGAAGCTCTGGGGATTAAGGGGAAGTCAACACGGTATGAGGGGGTAGGGATAACGATAAGAGGCCGATGACGATGGCGCAGCCGACCGAGTCATGTGAGAGGGGGAAATGACTGGATTATGTAAGGTTTGTTTATGTTTTCCCGTTTGAGACAAAGCTCCACTGATATACACAACTCTGAAAGACTCCGACACAGTTGGTGAAAAGATTAAATCGACTTTCAATTTAACCATCGGATATAACTGCCAACCACACAGTTGCACTCCGAGTGTCGCATTGTCAACATGGCTGGCCCACCAAGGCCCCCGTCCACCCTCCCCACCACGAGGAGGTCGGGTTTGCGCCAACCGGTCCGACGAGCGGGTTCGGCAGTCCCAGAACGACATGCACCACCTGGAGTGTCTACACCGTCAGTGAGGTCCTCTGCGATGAGTGCACCGCGGGTGACGAGAAGTCCCGAAAAGTCGGGCGCTGCGAGTAAGAGGAAGGAGAAAGATTTTGAACGGGAAATCAACGAGGACACAAGCATTCATGTGGTGGTCCGCTGTCGCGGCCGCAGCGATCGCGAGATCAAAGAGAACAATGGTGTAGTCTTGTCAACACCGGAAGGTGTGAAGGGCAAGACCCTCGATCTCTCGATGGGACCGAATGCGGTTTCAAACAAGACATATGCTTTTGACAAGGTCTTCTCCCCGGCCGCCGATCAAACCACTGTCTACGAGGATGTGGTTGTGCCTGTCCTCGACGAGGTCAGTATAGTTACCCCGTACGAAACCCAAATAACGCGCTAATTCCTTCCAGATGTTGGCAGGTTACAATTGCACAATCTTCGCATACGGACAGACTGGAACGGGAAAGACATACACCATGTCAGGAGACATGACCGACACATTGGGCATCTTGTCCGACGATGCAGGAATTATTCCACGTACCCTCTACGCCTTGTTTAACAAGCTTGAGGACACAGAAAGCACAGTGAAATGCTCCTTCATTGAACTTTACAACGAGGAACTCCGGGATCTGCTGTCATACGACGACAGCACCAAGCTCAAGATTTTCGAAAATGAGAAGAAGGGAGGACACAGCACAATGGTTCAGGGCATGGAGGAGACGTACATCGACTCTGCGTCCACCGGAATCAGATTACTTCAAACAGGCAGCCACAAACGCCAGGTGGCAGCGACAAAATGCAATGACCTGAGTTCCCGAAGTCATACAGTTTTCACTATCACCGTTCTCACAAAGCGTACGACTGAATCTGGCGAGGACTATGTTAGCTCGGGCAAGTTGAACCTAGTTGATCTCGCGGGTAGCGAAAACATCGGACGAAGCGGTGCAGAAAATAAACGGGCAACTGAGGCAGGTCTCATCAACAAGAGTCTACTCACACTTGGGAGAGTCATCAACGCTCTGGTGGATAAGAGCTCGCACATTCCATACCGAGAGTCAAAACTCACCAGACTGCTACAAGATTCACTTGGAGGACGAACAAAAACATGTATCATCGCCACTGTTTCGCCTGCCCGCAACAACCTAGAGGAGACCATCTCTACCCTGGATTATGCCTTCCGAGCCAAGAATATCCGCAACAAACCCCAGATTAATTCTATCATCTCCAAAACCAAGCTTCTGCGTGATATCGGGATGGAAATTGAGAAGCTTAAGAGCGAGCTCATTGCCACCCGGCATCGCAATGGTGTTTATATGACGCCTGATGCGTACGAAGAAATGACAATGGAAAGTGAATCACGGCGAATCGTCAACGAAGAACAGCGAGCTAAAATCGAGTCGATGGAGGCAAGCCTTCGCCACAAGGTTCAAGAGCTACTTTCTATCACGGGCAACTTCAACTCATTAAAGCATGACAACGAGGACACTCAGTCCAAGCTTAAAGAAACACGAGATGTTCTCAACGAAACAGAAAAGTTTTGGAAGGATACCCAGGAAAAGCTGGACGAGGAGAAGATTGTGCGGAAGGCCCATCAGAATACGGAAAAGCAGCTTCGTCATATCGGTGCTGGCCTAGTAACCACTTTGAACGGTACCATTCAAGACGTGAATGGACTACACGCGAAATTGGACCGCAAAGATAACCTAGAGTCTGATAACCGACAGATCTGGCAGACCTCAGCTAGCGAAGTATCGCATGTCACAGAACAGGTGGATGCTCGCATGCAGGTCTTCCAGACGCAGCATGCAAAACTGCTAGAGGAAATGTCTGGCAAAATCCATCAATTTGTAGAACATGAATTGGACACTGTGCAGTCTACCCGCTCTCACCTCAAGGGTCTTGACGCCTCATTTGACAAGGCTGAGGCCGAGGCCAAGAACAGCACCTACACTGCCCACAACGAGATGAATGAAGTTCTCGAGGAGATAAAGGTGCTTCGAGAAGAAGTTAAGTCCAAAGTTGGTGAAGGCCTGAATGGCTTGTCAGCTGCTGCTGCTCGGATCTCCGAAGAGGTTATTGGGGAGTTCTCAGAGTTCCATTCCCAACTTCACTCGTCATACAGTACACTAGGCAAAGACTTCAAGACCATGTTCGAGGGCATGGCAAAGCACCTCGATGAACAGAAATCCGAGGTCCACAAGCTACGTCTCGAGCTGCAGGCAGCTAACCGCCAGACGGTGGAGGCCAATAGAAAGGCTTCATCCAATCTAGCACAGGTTCTGGAAGAGGAACATGCGAGTGCACAAGCCGAGCGTGAAACTCTTATGTCTCACATCCGGGGACTCCTTGAGGACTCAAGTAATAAACAGAACAACCGCCTTAAGGGCAAATTTGACACCCTTCGCACCGATATCTCAGCATCAGGCGACTCTCTTGAGCAAGCGACTGCGCAGCACGACAGACACATCGATGAATGGATTTTCAAGGAAGAACAGTTTGCCAAGGACATTACTGCATCCAAGGATGAAATCAAAACCAGGATGCAGAATGATTGGGAGGTAAGACCGGCTGACATCTTTGGCTTGCGAAATGAGACTAACCGCAGTAGACTTTCGACCAGCGTAATGCCTCAATTCATCGGGCAACGGAGTCTGTGCACCAAGAGACTGTGCGGATTGTTGATGCTCAAATGAGCGATATGGGTACACAAATGGAGGCTTTGGATGACTTCGTTGCCAAAGCACGGTCCCAGAATGGCCGCTTCCATGAATCACACCTAGGCAGTTTGAACGCCATGGTTAAGAATGCCCAAGAGTCCCGTTCGAACGTCTACGGGCAACTTGATGGGCTCACTGGACGTGTCGAGCAACTCCAAGAGGATGTCGGCATGCATACCGAGAATCTGGAACAAACTACTGCACCTTTACACGCTGAAGTCCGCAAGCCACTTTTGGAAATGCGATCCAACATCCAGAGCCACCCTCTGAAACAGTATGTCCCAACAGGTATAACCCCTCAGAAACGACGATACGAATACCCTTCGGAAATGCCCCAAACGGAAGCTCACGACGGTCTTCGTACTCGCCACCGAACATCCAAGCAGTTTACTGCTCTACCATTCAGTGAGGAGGAACAACAGGACACCCCTGCTCGCACTTCGCTCCAGGTTTCGCCGTCCAAGAAATTCGTGTATAATGATACCCCGGAAGAGGTAGGCCATTCTCTTCCATCATCCGCAGTCCCACCTTCCAACACTGGCCTTAGAGAAGTCGACTTAAACGTCGCCAGACCGGTCGTGTCTGATGGCGACGACGCACTACCTCCCACCAAAACGGAAACCCCCGCGTTGGCCACATCCATGGACCTGGATGAGACGCCAGAAAAGGAAGAGCCAGAACCTTCCCGCAAACGGCGCCGCTCGAATTCACACAACAATCCGGAGTCCAAACTCCCCAAAACCATGCTTTCAAAAAGGATGGCTGGCATGAAGGAGGGTCGCGAAAATATGCCCCCCTCAGCCATCGCTAGTGGCCGAAGGTTCAGAAACCGCACCTCTGATTAGGTGGATTCCATGTTATTTTCTGCCCTTTTTTTTGCTCTTTTTTCCTGACAATTTTTGATACCCGATAGTCGCTGGGCTTTCCACTCTGGGTTGGAGTTTTTGGCTGAGAAAATAGTGTTGGGTTGGACATTCTCTTGTATCTCTTCTTTTGTCTGAGTGCCATAGAAAGGCGTTTGTACTTGGCGTTTCTGGTTTGGCTACCTTGATATCCCCACAGGATGTTCGATCTTAATACCATACTTGACCTCCCAGTTGAATTGATTCGTCTTGTATTCAGAGCATTTTCATGAAGTTCACCAGGCACTAGCTTATTCGTGGACTAGACTTAATACAAACGTCGATGCTTTCTCCGTGATTCGCCAAAAACAGCGTTAATAAATCATCAAGAATGGTCCGCCCCAACTTCTGCAGCATAGGCCGCACTATCCCCCTCACCCTTAATAGTCTCTTCGGCTTTGTCCGGAGAGAAGGGATGCTGCACGAGTTCTTCCTCGTCGTGTTCTCCCTTCGAGTCCGCAGCCTCTGCAGCATCGATAACAACCTGCAACTCGCTCATCCGCTTCGCAAACTGATCCATCATCTCCTCAAGTGTGCTCTCCTTCTCCTTGCCACCCACCTTAATCGGCAGCCCACCTGTGCCACGAATCTTCAGCATCAACCCATGTCCTGGTAACTCGCCAGGATTACTATTTTCAAAAGTGGGCGCCGGCACCACTTCCGTGTTGAGGACCTGCCATGTTGATGAGAAGCTTTGAGCGGCGGTAACGCTATACTGCGGGTGTAGCTGTCCCTGGTCCTGTGGGAGTGGGGAAGCGTTCGCCGGCGACGAGGATATGGACCTCGGGCCACCCCCGCCTTTCCCTGGTGCTAGCTGTTCGGTTATCGGGCTGGTTTGCGCTGCCCCAGGTGCATGTGGTGAAGGCTCTACATCGAGGATGACATAATTATTCCGGACTCCTGGAATAGGCGGTGGGAGTAGGGTGGTCTTGGCTAGGTCTGGGTCGGAGGGGTCTTTGATCTCGTCCTGAAGATTGGATGCTTTGGTCTGCGCGATCTGGTCTTTCTTAGAATCGGAAAGGACATCTTGCTGCGCAGCCAAGCTACGCAGGGCTGCCTCTGTCACGATATCGGTATCATCGTCGGAGAATATGTAGTGAACCGTTGGGTGGTGGTAGTCTGAGGTATGGGCGTCTTCGATCAAGGTGAAGAACGGCTGGAATGCGGGGTGGGAGAGAGATTGTTCTTGGCCTTCCTCAAGATGGTCTTCAGTTTCATCCAGGACTGTGTCTTGGCAAGGTGATTCAATTGTTCCTGGAAGTTGATGAGTTTCGTCTGTTGATGGACGGCCCTCAGGCAGTTGCCCTCTTGGGTATCGGTCACTTGGCCGTGAAGCGGCAGTGCCAGGCCGAGAGGGTATTTCTTTGTGCAGGGACTGCCGGGATGATGAAGAGGACAGGGGAGGATGATAGGGAGAGTTGTTCAGAGACATCTCCATAAGCCGAAGCTACATCATTCTGGAGAAGAGCTTGGGATAGGATGAGGTTCTGTATCGCGTGCAGGGAGCTTCTTATCGATAGCGTCACGTGCCGATCAGGTGAAAAGTGACAGCGGCCAGTGTAGTTGAGCTTGTGTCGAGACAGTTTTATATTGGGACATGTGTTACCCCTGATATGTCACTTTTGTTCTTGATTTTTGAGGATGACATTATGGTACTTAGTAGGCTACTTGAATATGATATACGTTAACCTATCTATAGCCCGATCTGCAAATATATACATCGATATGTCAAACATCAAACTCCTTGTAGAGGCATTTATAACCCCTATAATATACACCAAGAAAGTCATATTATGCAAGAATAATAGTCCTTCTAGTAGGACTAGCCTTGATTTGTAAAAATGAAGTATAGAGTGGGATACAATCTTGCGTCGATCGATTGATCAAACTCGCTGCAACCGCGGCATTGATTTGATGCTTGGTTGAGACTGAGGTCCTGACAACTTTTCCAATCCAAGTTTGCATGCCCGATAAAAACACAAAGGGGTATATTGAATTCGTCCGACAACGCCTTGATAACCATTGATGAGAAGAGAGGAAAAAAAACAAAACAAAACAAACACAAACTAGGCCATTATTCCTTTTCTTTCCATTCGAATTCTGGAGACAGGTTAGCTCGATATCACATAGGCAATGTAGAGAAAGCATACTCTGTCGGCACATTGGGCATAGTCCCTTGGAAGACTCCAAGTCAATCCAGGTCATCAAGCAATGCTATTTGAGAAGTGTTGATCAGTCCAGCCCTAGCTTGAGATGTTCACTCTGCAGCCTTACCATATGAAACGCGTGGTTACATCTTCCTTGCACTATAACAGTCATCGTAGTCAGTATTTAGCAGGGAATTGGGAGTAGAAAAGTCACTCACCAAGCGCACAGTCGTCACCGGGGAATTTGCAGGTTGGACAAGTGCCATCGAACTGAACACGACAGATACCACACACTTCATCCTCTGGAATATTCCAGTGCCAAGTAGCGACGGCATTCCATTCTTTAATAGCGACCTTCATTGTGGAGTGGGATAGTGGAGAGCCAAGCTGAAGAGGTGTAAAGATGGGAAAACCATCGGTCAACACCCGCTTATCTCTTATCGGCCTTATCACATGTTCTCCGCACCTGGGCACCTCCACATAGTTATGCCGCCATAACACGCAATAGTACTCCTCTTATTGCTCTTCCCTGCTCTTCCGCCTCCTCTTACTCGTTGGTCTGACTTGCATTTTGCATATTTTCTCCAAGGCTTTGCTACCTCGTTATGTAAATTGGTCTTTAAAAGCCTCCTTTCCTCTCCACCATGGCTTTTGCAGCCAGATCCTTTGCTCCTGCTCGTCTCTTCCGCTCCAATATGTCCATCTCCACAGGGGTTCAAACTCAGCGCAATGTCTCTTTTTCTTCGTACTTAGTGACACCAAAGCAGCTGAATGAAGCACTCAAGAAGAACCCGCGGACAAAAATCTCAACTTCCCCGCGCGTGATTCCCCTCTGTGCAGCATGGTTCATGCCGAATGACCCAGAGGGTCGTAAGGGAATTGACTCGTTCCGCAACTCGCGCATCCCCCAGGCCCAATTCTTTGACCTTGATGCTATTAAAGATCAAGATTCACCCTACCCACACATGCTTCCCACTTGTGAGACCTTTGCCGAGGCCATGAGCGAGTTGGGGATCCGTCGCGACGACTCGGTGGTTGTCTACGACACTGCTGACTTGGGCATATTCAGTGCGCCCCGAGTTGGCTGGACACTGCGCGTCTTTGGACATCCCAATGTGCACGTCCTAAACAACTATCGTCTCTGGGTCAAAGAAGGTCTTCCAACTGAGAGCGGGGAGCCAGCGGTGGCGGAGAAGTCCAAGTACCCTGTTCCGACATACGACTCACGACTAGTGATATCCTTCCGGGAGATGAAGGAGTTGGCATTTGACTATGGTAAAGAAGGCGCAGAGGAAATAGAGATCCTAGATGCACGCTCCTATGGTCGCTGGGCTGGAACCGACCCAGAGCCGCGCCCTGGCCTGTCATCGGGCCATGTTCCTGGCTCCAAGAGTCTGCCCTTCCAAGAACTGCTGGACCCTGAAACAAAAGCCTATCTTCCTGTTGAGGACCTCCGAAAGGTCTTTGAGGACCACAAGGTGGATCCAAACCAAACAATCATCAGCTCGTGCGGTACTGGCGTGACTGCCTCCATCATTGAGACAGCGCTGAGTGAGGCGGAATATGGCGACCCAAACCTGCGTCGGGTATACGACGGCAGTTGGACGTAAGTATACAAAGTTTCTTGTAATTCAAAAGTTGCTACTAGTACTAATATGAACATCGAAACCAGTGAGTGGGCGCAACGAGTTAAGGAATCGGATGGCCTCATCAAGAAGGTGAAGTCATAGGCTGGGATGATGGCTTACAAACATGATCTTTTTCTCTTCTCTTTCTTTCTCTCTACTCTTAGACTGTATCCCTCTTCGATATATAGAAACCTTCACTTCTCTGTTTAAAATCGGTCTTGCAAAGTTGTTCCTGAAGCACGCTTAGTCAGCATATTTCCATCTCTGCCCATCGCATCATTTCTCGAGGTGCGTTCTTTGGCCCCAATCAAACTGTATTGTTACAAAGATGCTGCAGATGGAAACATCCTGTCAACTGGATTCTCATCGTGAGTGAAGATGTTCCCGGCTCCATCAACCGGCATCCCACTACTCCCTCCTTCCCCCCCCCACATTCCCAGGTCCCTCCATCATCAAACCTCCTTCCTCAGCTGTAGGCCCGTGCTGACCGGCCCCGATTCAGTCGCGGTTGTCTACACTTCTAGTCTTCCGATATAGGGCGGTCTTTGCGCTGTACCTCTCACTCACTACGAACATACGAACACACTCGTTCAATAATCCGCCATGTCGACCGGACGCAAGGTCTTCCGATGTGCCGTGGACGAGACGGCCCTGTCCACCAATATTAGCGAAATCAAGAAATGGACCGCTAACGGTGCTATTGATCTCGTGGTTCCTCTCTACAGTGAGTATCCGAATGCCGAAGAGACTCCGATTGCCTCACTGCAGCTCTTGCCGATCTAACCATATCCTCCGATTAGCACTTGAACGACTCCATGCGCTGAAGCGAGCGGGATCGCAGGTCGCCATCAACGCCCGCGAAGCGGTCCGTTTTCTTGACCGGGTCACCTCCGGCAAAGATCACATCGCTGCCGACCGAGTTCTCCTCCAGGGCCCCATGGAACAATACGAGCGTTGGGAGGAGGCCGAGAAATTCTTCCTGCCGGAATTTGAAGAAGAGCCCGAGGTAATTGATGAGGCCCTTGCCAATGATGAGCCAGCGATTGAACCCGGCGCCGATGATACCTTGACCAAGAACGAGTCGGATGATCTGTCGCAGATGCTCTTGTCCAAGCTGAACTTCAAGAAGGACCCGGAGGCTGTATCGATCACCTCTGTCGGCACCCCTAGTGGGCCTGGATCGCGCACATCCTCTCGCAGCTCCCGCACCAGCCCTGAGTGTGCTCAGCGTGAGTCTAGCAATGGAACGGCAAAGAATGACAAGACCAAGAGCAAGTCTGCTAGCCACCAGCGCACCATCTCTGGATCCGTCATCCCGACCGCGCCGCCCGCCCTGCGCCCATTGCTCAGCGCCCTGCTCTGGCGGTTGCATACAGGCCCCGATGCCGAGAACTCTGCTAAGACCTGCATTCTCATCTCCAATGACCGTGCGACCCAGGTGTGGGCTCAGAAGTTTGGCATTGGTGTCAAGAACATTCTGCAGTTACGCACCGCTATCCAGTACGAGGAGCGTGAGTACAAAAACCGCTGCAAATATGTCGAGAAAATTCAGACCCAACCCGCCGAGCCGAAGACATTGTTGTCCTACGAGGAAGAGAGCGACGAAGATGAGCTAGTGTTTGTCCCCCGCGGTCGTGGAAAAGGAACTCCCCGAGGTGCCTCGCGTGGTGGGGGTCCGCGAAAGGCTGCCCCCAAGGCTGCCTCCAAAGCTGCGCCACCTCCAGCTGAGCCCACTGCTATCGTGGAAGTTCCTACTAAGCCCATCGACCCGGACTCTTTCAGCCGGTCTCTGGGCGGTGCAACTAAGGCTCCCACTGTAGACTTGGGCACCCAACAGGGTGCCACCGGTGGATCCCGTGGCAACGCTGGAACCTCTCGCCGCTCATCCAATGGTCGCCGTGGTGGATCTTCGCGCGGTGCACGAAGCAATGGTCGTGGCCGTGGTAAGCTCTGGGTTCCTTGATTAACACGAGCAGAACGGTCTACTCCACGTCATCTCTTGATGATAGTAGACTGGAGTGTTTTGTGAACCAATGCATCCAGAACCGGACAGGGTTGTCTCTTTTCTCTTTGCTGGACTGCAATAACCCCCCTAAAGTGGGGATCTGGATCTGGATCTGTCTTGCTGTGATTGCCCGCAGAGTGTGTTTTTCCCTCTTCCCCCGGCATAAACTATCCCAGAACTCCGGCATGATCGGATCTCGGACACGAAAGGACATGAATCCCATAGTGGATTCAACCCGCGGCTGTGATGCGCTGCTTGGAGATGTCTCCTTCGGAAAACCTGTGCCCACCCCCCCCCCCCC